TTAATGAGGCAGTATTAGTGTAGGATGTGTCTTAAATCAAACTCTTTTGAGGTATGAAAGAGTAGATTAAGCAAGCAAGCACAAATGGATGGGGAGACACATGCCACATGATGGCCAAAAAAACTAGGAATAGAAGCTGAAGAGAGATAAGGACCTTCCCCCAGAGCCGGCACTCTGAATTTGGACTTCTACCTTCCTAAATTGTGAGAAAACAAATTTCTGTGTGTTCAAGCCACCCACTTACAGTATTTCTGTTATAGCAGCACTAGATAACGAAGACACCCATCTATACGTCTCCCTAGGTGATCTCACCCAGTCTCATGGCTTTAAATCCCATCTCTACTTCTGCTGGCGCCCACATTTCTAACTCCAGTCTGGACCTCTCCTCTGAGCTCTAGACTTGTACACCCAACTGTCTACTCAATAGCTCCACTAAGTTGTCTAACAGGCATCTCAAATTTAATAGATCCCAAACGGAGTTCCTGAAATTTCCCCTTCTCAGTAAATGGCAACTCCATTCTCCCAATTGCTCAGGCCAAAAACCTTGGATTCATCCTTTCTCCTTCAAAGCCTACAATGCATCCATCAGGAAATCCTATTACTCTATTTTCAAAATATATCCAGAAACTGTCTACTACAATCCTGATGCACACCCAAATCATCTCATGCCCAGACTCCCAGATTATTCCAATGGTCTGCTATCTGGTTTCCCTATCTCTGCCCTTGCTCCCTTTATTCTATTCCCACACAGCCACCAGAGTCAAGTCATGTCACTCCTCTGCTCATGAGTAAAAGCCAAAATCATTACAGTGGCTACAAGTCTCTACAGTCCGGCCCCACCTCTCTGACTTCATCTTCCCCTCACTCATTCTGCTCCACCTATACTGGCCTCGTTGCGTTCTTTAATACACCAGGCATGCTCCTGCCTCAGGGCCTTTGCATCTGCTACTCCCGCTGCCTAGAATGGAGCCCTGGTGGCACAGTGGTTAAGAGCTCAGCTGCTAACCAAAAAGTCGGCAGTTCGAATCCACCAGCCACTCCTTGGAAACCTTGTGGGGCCATTCTACTCTGTCCTATAGGGTTGCCATGAGTCAGAATCAACTCGACATCAATGGGTTCTGCCTAGAATACTCTTCCCTCAGATATCCTACATGGACTCTTTCTTCTTCCTTCATATTGTTACTCAAATGTTACCTTCTCAAGCTCGCCATTGGTGATCACTCTATGTAAAATTGCATACTCGCTCCTTCCCTAGTTATTACTATCTAATAAACCATATATTTTACCGATTTATTTTTGTTTAGTGTCTTTCTTCTCCCACTAAAGTATAAACTCCATGAGGGCAGGGGCTTTATCTGTTGTTTCAATGCTGTCTGTGAGAGCCCAGAACAGAGCCTGACATGTAATAGGTGCTCAGTAACTATGGTTGCATTAATGAATGAAGGAAGCCACATAATTCAACTGCCCTGAATCCTACCTTACCACTGAACTTCTTATACAAAAGCCAAAAATGTCCTTATTGTCAGCCAGATTGAGTTGGGGTTTCTGCTTTCTCATACTTTCAGCAGAAGTCAGCGTAACTCATGCCCACATGTAATCTCATTCAATCCTCATGCCTACGCTGAGAGTTAGGTGTATTCTCTCCATTTTCCAGACGGGGAAAGTGAACTCTAGAGAAATTAAGTGACGTGTCAGAGGTCACACGGCTAGTAAGTGGTGGAGCCCAGCTTCCCGGCCTGATTCATGCCAAAGCCATGAGCTCTTGCTGCAGCACTCCACACTGACTGGCCCTCCCCAGAAAGGACACAGGGCTGAGCTAGAGTCAGGAGCCACAGGGATCGAGGGGCTGTGGCTCAGCAGGGGATCTCCGCAAAAGAAAAACTTATTCCATCAAAACGCTCAAGTATCAGATGCCTAAATAATCATTGCATTAACTGGTTTGTTTCACCTTGTTTCCTACATTGTCTTCTTCTTGTTGTTTGCACGTTTACTGTCCTTTTCTCCCCTTAGACTGCTCCCCATTCCACGTATCCCCACACCTAGCACAGTGCTTGGTACATGTTAGGAGTTCAATGAATGGATGACGAATGAAATCAGGTACAGCTCTGTTTAATAATCTCCGTGCTATCCTACAGACCCAAGGTAATTCACTCCACTCTTGACATCTAACAAGTCCCACAGAGCAATCTCCAGACTGAGAGACCCCTTAGAGGTGCTGAGGACCTCACCGAGATCTCTTTCCCTTCTTCTGCTTCCCCTCTCTAGGCCCCTACAATTAATTCATTCAACAAATCCTGACTGAGCACCTGCCTTGTGCTAAGCACTGTCCTCAGGATGCTTACCGTCTAGTAGAGAGACAAACATTAAACAAAAAATCACACAAATAGGAAAAAACGGTAATCAAGGAAAAGTTGTTGCTGTATGCACTGATTCCGACTCATAGTGACCCTTTATGACACAGTATATCTGCCCCAGCGTGTTTCCTAGGGTTTATTTACAGGAGCAGATCACCAGGTCTTCTCTCCTGTGGAGCTGCTGGGTAGGTTCAAACCGCCAACCTTTTGGTTAGCAGCCAAGCACTTTAACCATTGAGTCACCCCCCAAAAAAAAACAAAACAAAACACCACCATCAAATCGATTCCGACTCATAGTGACCCTATAGGACAGAGCAGAACTGCTCCATAGGGTTCCCGAGACTCTATCTTTATGGAAGCAGACTGCCACATCTTTCTCCCACAGAGCAGCTGGTGGGTTCAAACCACCAACCTTTGAGTTAGCAACCCAACTCTTAACCACTACGCCACTAGGGCTCCTTCCAAGGTTAAGTTAGGAGTTGGAATCGACTTCAGGGCAATGGGTTTGGTTTTTTTTTGGTAATGTAGATGGGAGAGTGCCATTGATGGTCTCCAGATCTAAAGGATGAAGACGAGTTCTGGGAGAGGAAATAGCCCATGCAGAGGTCCCAGGGAGAGAATGAGTTTGCTGCCTTTGAGAGACTGAAGGATGGTGGGTGTGCCTTGCATTGCAGCTGATGGTCTTATCTCCTCAGTGCTGGCCTGTGCTTTCTGGATCTGCCTGCAGTGGGGGAGACATTGCCGCTGTTCATAGTTTAACAGTCTTCTGCCAAGGACGGGGGGCACAGACCAGCCTGCCCTGACTCACTGTCGGAACCCAGCTGTCCTAGGTGTCTCTGTGTCCAGAAATCCTGAGCCCAGCCAGTTTCCAGAGAATTGTTCACTGCATGTTACTCGGCCCTGAGGCTATTGGGATGGCCTGGCAGTGAGCTCCGAACAGGCCAATGGGAACCAAGGCAGAATCCTAGCAAGAAGGGCTTTGGGGAAGACGCTGTTTGTATGGCCAGGGCTGGGCGCTTCACCTGGGCGCTTCACCGGGGAGGGCTCGGGTGAGCGAGGTCAGTGCTGCACAGACGGATGGCCGCCACTCCCCACTGGTGGCCTCTTCCCTCTTCGTTGCTCCCACATCCCCACTCCCCAAGTAGCCCAGGCCCAGCAGAGGAGGCTGGGGTGCAGGGCTGGGCGCTGCTGGAAGAAGGAGTTAAGAAGGCCGGTCCGGCTGATGGCTGCGGAGACAGAACTGTGTTTATCCAGGAAAAGAGGTCGGAAGTAGACAGCGGAGGCCCCTGCCAGCTCCTCCCAGAAGGACTGGGCCAGAGGAGCAAGCTGGAGAGGAAGCTGCTCCCCTCCGGGATCTGAATGCTCCGGGCCAGAAGCCAGGACCCAGCGCGGCCCACAGGTGAGGCCTGCTCTCTCGGCGCCCGGCAGAGCCCGCCGTGGGCTCGGAGTCCCGGGCAAGGGTCGCAGCGTCGGTCAGGCTCCCGGGAGTGCGGTGCGGGGGTGCGGTGATCGCTCGGCGGTGGAGCCTCCCGGAGCCCACTGGCGATGGCAGAGAATCAATGCTGCCTTTGTGTGCGGCCGTTTCCAGGGGAGAAAAAGACTGGAGAGTGGGAGGGGCGGCCCAACGGCCCGTCCCGCCCTGAGGACTTGGGATGCAGTGGGGCTGGGAAACTGGAGTCGGACCGGTCAGGGCTCAGGGGAGGGGGATTCCGTGCCCCCGAGACGTGCGTCTCCTTGGACCAGCTCGTGGAGCCCTCAGATCCGCCGCCCGTTGTGCAGCTGGTCTGCTTCTGGCCTGGAGCGGCTCGCGAAGACGAGGGAGGAGCCAGCCGAGGCAGGTGGGGCCGGGGCCAAGGATGGCTCAGTCCCGAGGCGAGCGCGCGCGGGCAGGGGAGGGCGTCCCGACGGCCTCCAGACAGGGGCGGATTACCCAGGAAGCAAGGTAGGCACGGGCTTAATTGTGCTTACTTACCAATCTGTAGTGAACAAGTTCACATCGGTTTCACGCACAATTAAGCCCGTGCCTACGTTGCTTACTGTGAACCGGTGCGCACCGTGCCGACCGGTTAATCCGCCCCCAGCTCCAGGCCAGATCTTGCAGGAGAGCCCACGTCTTCGTAATGGGGGACGGGAGGGAGGGGGCAGTTTGAGGCTGCCTAGGGCCTCGGTGTCCCTTAAGGAGTCACGTGTATATGAGTCGGGTCTGGGGTCTGGGACGGTGTTTGTGACCACAAACCTTTTGGTAATGCAGGTGTTATTCTAACAGTAGCCTAGTCTTCTAGATGGTGTGTTGTGCCCTCGGAGTTGGGTGCGAGCATCCTTAGTATTAATGAGTGTGTGCACTGGGTGTCCCCGAGGCCTGCATCGGAAAATGTGACTGTCAGGTTTGGGTTCCCTCCATTTCCTCCGCACTCCCACCCCCACCCCACTTGGCTGCCCTTTGTCTTTCCTGCTCAAACAGAGGCCGGGGCACCCCCGGGCCCCCCGGGAAGGAGAAGGCAGGGCGGTGCACAGCGAGTGTACACTGGCCGCATCACTCACCGCCGGCCCCTCTTCTCTCCTCTGTCCAGCTCTCCAACCTGAGACCCTGGATTCAAACCCTCTCGCCTTCGCGGAATTCAGACTTTATCACTGCCACCCCACCGCATGTGGCTCTTGGAGAAAGCTGGCTACAAGGTGGGGACCGCCGAGCCCGGGGCCCGGTGGGCACCCTCCAACCTGTTCCCTAAGCGCCGCGCCCCGGGCCCGCCCGCGCGCGCCTGCCCCAACATCCTCACCCCCGACCGCATCCCGCAGTTCTTCATCCCGCCTCGGCTCCCGGACCCAGGCGGCGCCGAGCCCCAGGTCGGGCGCGACGCGGGCGGCCGAGGCCTC